GGGGGGGGGCGTGCGGGCGGCGACGGGGCGTGAGCTTACGGTTCTCCTCGAGCAGGTGCTTGAAAAAGTCGAGGTCGAGGCGGCGGTCGTCCTTGGCCTGCTTGGCAAAGGGCACGAAGAAGCCGACGAGGAAGATGGCGACGACGAAGAGCAAAAAGGCGATTGTGTACTTGAGGGCGCCCAGGATGCGCTGGCCGACCGTCTGCTCGCCGCGCTCGGCGGCGTCATCGTCACGCTCGTCGTGGTAGAAGTAGGTAAAGGGCACGACCAGCAGGCACAGGACGGCGTCGAGCGAGTACAGCAGGTAGTAGACAATCTGCAGGGTGTGGGTAATGCCGTCGACGCGGTCGGGCGTGGCCCAGTCCTTCTTGCGGCCGAGCGACGAGCGGCTGGTGGACGAGACGAGGGCGACGTCGACGGGGATGAGCAGGACCGTGGCCAGCAGGGCGAGCGTGGTGAAGATGCTCACGGCGGTGACGGCGGCGGCGCGCTCGCGGGGGGTCTGGTAGACGAAGACGAAGACGCAGGCAATGGCGAGCAGCAGGCCGACGGCGACGGCGTAGGCGACCCAGATGAGCGACGTCTGGATGAGCGCCATGGCGATGGGCGACGGACTGGCGGGCGACGGACTGGCGGGCGACGGATTGGCGGGCGACGGACTGACGGGCGACGGATTCGCGGGCGACGGGGTTTTTGACGATGCGCGCTGTGGTGGGAGCGAGCGTGCCGTGCTGTGGTGGGAGCGAGTGTGCCGTGCTGTCGCCTTGAGTCTGCGGAGAGGATGACGTCTAGCGCTGCATGGATCGCCGGCGCGGACGCATCTGCAGCAGCACGTCCGCGTCCAGGCTCCCCGACGCGCTAGTGGGTCAAACAATGCTGGCGACAACATTGCGCCGCGAGAGAGCAACTCGCCGCCCACGACACTTTGCAGACTGCCACCCGGGCCAGCGAGACCCCAGGCCAGCGAGACCCCCGGCTAGCGAGACCCCAGGCCAGCGAGACCCCCCAGGCCAGCGACAGCCCCAGGCCAGCGAGATCCCCGGCCAGCGCGATCCCACTGCGTCCCGATGCAATGCTACACTGAGCTCGCGCCCCCCACGGCCGTCAGCCATGCCGTGACGCTCCCATTCGTGTCTGCCCGCGCCGCCAACCTCGTCGTCGCCAAGAGTGCGCTGCTGCAGATCTTCGAGCTGCGCGCGACCGTCACCGAGGTTGGCAGCAACAGCCGCGACGATGCCGCCGACAACGCGGCCGCGAACCTCGACACGGCCGCCGCCGACGTCCAGGTCCAGCGCACCGAGCACACGTCGCGTCTGGTGCTGCTGGCCGAATGCCCGCTCGCGGGCACCGTCCTGTCGGTCGCCCGCATCCGCGCCCTCAACACGCGCTCCAAGGGCGAGGCGCTGCTCGTCGCGTTCCGCGACGCCAAGCTGAGCCTGGTCGAGTGGGACCCCGACAGCCACAGCCTGCACACAATCTCCATCCACTACTACGAGAGCGCCGACCTGCCCGGCCTGGCCCCGTGGAGCGCCGACCTAAAGGACGCGCACAACTTCCTCACCGCCGACCCCGGCCACCGATGCGCGGCCCTCAAGTTCGGGGCCCACAACCTCGCCATCCTGCCCTTCCGCCAGCGCGACCTGCCCGACGACGACTACGACTCGGACGACGAGCGGCGCAGCAAAGATGCCGCCACCAAGGGCCACGGCCAGGGCGGCGGCCTCACCCCCTACGGCTCCTCGTTTGTCCTGCCGCTGACCAACCTCGACCCGACCCTCACCCACCCCGTCCACCTCGCGTTCCTGCACGAGTACCGCGAGCCCACGTTTGGCGTCATCGCCGCCTCGCGCGCGACCGCCCCGTCGCTGCTCGCCTACCGCAAGGACCTGCTCACCTACACCGTCTTCACCCTCGACCTCGAGCACAAGGCCTCGACCACGCTGCTGTCCGTCGCCGGGCTGCCGTACGACGTCAGCCGTGTCGTGCCCCTGCCGCACCCGATCGGAGGCGCGCTGCTGGCCGGCGCGAACGAGCTCATACACGTCGACCAGGCCGGCAAGACCAACGGCGTCGCCGTCAACGAGTTCGCCAAGGCCTGCTCGGCCTTTCCGCTGAGCGACCAGTCCGATCTGGCGCTGCGTCTCGAGGGCTGCACCGTGGAGCTGCTGTCGCCGGAGACGGGCGACATGCTCATTGTGCTCAGCGACGGACGACTGCTCGTCCTGACCTTCACCCTGGACGGCCGCACAGTGTCCGGCATGACTGTGCAGCCCATTGATGAGGAGCATGGCGGCGGCATCCTCAAGGCAGGCGCTTCCTGCACCGCCGGCCTGGGGCGCGGCCGCATATTTGTGGGCAGCGAGGACGGCGAATCTGCCCTGCTCGGCTGGACAGGCGCCGGCGCCCAGCTGCGCCGGAAGCAGTCGGACGCCGGCCTGGACCAGGACGACGACGTGTCGGACATGGAAGACGACGTCGACCATCTCGACGACGACCTCTACAACGACACCACACCAGCCGTAAAGAAGATGGCCTCTGCTGCCGCAGAGCCCTCGGCGCCCGGCGCGTACACATTCCGGGTGCACGATGTGCTCCCGAGCCTAGCCCCCATCAACCAAGTCGTGCTGCATCCCGCCAAACACGCGCGCTCGCTGAGCAGCGGCGAGATATACGCGCGCTCGCTGAACAGCGGCGACATGGTAGCCGCAACGGGAAGAGGCGCTGCGGGCGCCCTCACCGCTCTGAGCCGAGAGCTGCACCCCGTGAAGCTGGCACAGACAGAGCTAGAGTCGGCCAAGGGTCTGTGGGCCGTGCATGCGAAGAAGGCGGCTCCGCAGGGCATCTCCGCCGCCTTTGGGGAAGACACCGAAGCCAACATGTCCTCTGACGTCGACTACGACCAGTACCTGGTCGTCTGCCGAGCCGGCGACGACGGCAACGAAGTCACCACCGTCTACCAGGTGCACGGAAACGAACTCACTGCTACGGACAAGGGTGACTTTGAGCGCGAAGAAGGGTCGACTTTGAGCGTTGGTGTGCTTGCTCGCGGAACAAAGGTCGTGCAAGTGATGCGGACAGAAGTTCGTACCTACGACTCTGGTACGTGATTCCCCTGCTTTGTGATTTTGCGATGAGACTGCTGCGTCCATTGCGATGAGACTGCTGCGTCCATTGCGACGAGACTGCTGCGTTCATTGCGATGAGACTGCTGCGTCCACTGCGATGAGACTGCTGCGTCCATTGCGATGAGACTGCTGCGTCCATTGCGACGAGACTGCTGCTTCCACTGCGACGAGACTGCTGCGTCCACTGCGACGAGACTGCTGCTTCTACTGCGACGAGACTGACGGGAACAGAGCTCAACATGGACCAGATCCTGCCCATGGACGACGAAGAGACTGGTGACGAATTACACATCATCAACGCCAGCTTTGCCGACCCTTACCTGCTGATCTTGAGAGAGGACTCCAGCGTCAAAATCTTCAAGGCCACCGGAGACGGCGAATTAGAGGACGTCGAGGCCAGTGGCCTGTCGCCGACAAAATGGCTGTCAGCATCGCTATTCAGGTCGTCCACTTTCACCGACGTCTTTGCTTTCTTGTTGACACCAGAAGGTGGTCTGCACGTGTTTGCCATGTCCGAGCTTGAGAAACCCAGCTATGTTGCCGAGGGCTTGGGCTTCTTGCCGCCCGTGCTGACGGTCGATTATGTGCCTCGCCGCAGTGCAAGTAAGGCTTCCATTACAGAAATACTGGCTGCCGACCTTGGTGACGCTACCGCACGGTCGCCACATCTCATTGTGAGTCCTCTACACCAAGCACGCAGTCACTCGCTGACAGCCCCAGGTCCGCACCTCTAACGATGACCTGGTCATCTACAAAGCCTTCCACTCACCCGCACCGTCTTCGACAGAGCTGTGGACACAGAACCTCAGATGGGTCAAGTTGTCCCAGCAACACGTTCCCAGATTCTCCCAAGACGTAGAAGAAGCCTCCCAAGACGTAGGAGAAGCCTCCCGAGACGTAGGAGAAGCCTCCCGAGACGTAGGAGAGGCCTCCCAAGACGTAGGAAAAGCCTCCCAAGACGTAGGAAAAGCCTCCCAAGACGTAGGAAAAGCCTCCCAAGATGTAGAAGACGCCTCCCAAGAGGTCAAGATCGAAAGCACTCTCCTTGCACTGGACAACATCTGCGGTTATAGCACCGTCTTCCAGCGCGGAGCATCTCCGGCCTTCATCTTCAAAGAGTCGTCGAGCGCGCCCCGTGTCATTGGCCTGAGCGGCAACGCTGTCAAGGGACTTACGCGATTCCACACCTCCTCTTGCCAACGTGGCTTTGCGTACCTGGACGCGACTGATACCCTGCGCATCTCTCAACTGCCCACACAGACACACTTTGGACATGTGGGTTGGGCAACACGACAGCTGCCATTCGGCTCCGAGGTTCACGCGTTCACATACCATCCGAAAGGGCTCTACGTCGTAGGGACTGGGCAGCGGGAAGAATTCACTCTCAACCCAGACGATACCTACCACGAGGCGTTGCCAAAAGAGGACACGGCTTTCAAGCCACGTGTCGAGCGCGGCGTACTGAAGGTCATCGACGAGAGGACTTGGACAGAGATTGACACTCACATCCTCGATCCACAGGAAGTGGTATTGTGTATCGAGACTCTGAACCTCGAAGTATCCGAAACCACCCACCAGCGCAAAGAGCTCATCGCCGTCGGCACGTCTGTGGTCCACGGTGAAGATCTCGCAACAAAAGGACACATCCGCATCTTTGAGGTCATCAATGTCGTTCCTGACCCAGAGCGTCCAGAGACGAACAAGCGCCTCAAGCTCATTGTCAAAGACGAGGTCAAAGGCGCGGTATCTGCCGTCTCGGAACTCGGCACACAGGGCTTCCTCATCATGGCACAGGGCCAGAAGTGTATGGTCAGAGGCTTGAAAGAGGACGGAACCTTGCTACCGGTCGCTTTCATGGACATGCAATGCTACGTGACCGCGCTGAAGAACTTGCCAAACACTGGCATGCTCTTGATGGGCGACGCCTTCAAGGGCGTCTGGTTCACCGGTTACAGTGCAAGTCTGACCGCAATACGCAAATCTACAACGCTGACAAACCCGCAGGAAGAGCCGTACAAGATGATGCTGTTCGGTCGAAGCAAGCACCAACTCGAATGCATCACAACCGAGTTCCTGCCCTTCGATGAGCAACTCCACGTCGTCGTCGCAGACGCAGACATGAACCTGCAGATCCTGCAGTACGACCCCGAGAGTATGTCCCAGCCTCTCACCCATCTTCAACACACTAACCGCACCCTCAGATCCCAAATCCGCGGGCGGCTCCCGCCTCCTCCACAAATCGACCTTCCACACCGGCCACTTTCCCACAACGCTCACGCTCCTCCAGAGCACACTCAAGATGCCACAGATGTCCGACTTTGGCGCACAAACCTTTGAAGACGACGTTGACATGGACGGCCCACCCGACCCCGGACCCGTCCACCACATCCTGCACACCACGCAGTCCGGCACCATTGCGCTCATCACCCCGCTCTCCGAGTCGAGCTACCGCCGCCTTTCGGGCCTGAGCGCGTTCCTGGCCAACGCCCTCGAGAGCGCGTGCGGGCTGAATCCAAAGGCTTTCCGCATCAGCGATGTCGACGACGGCGGGTGGGATGCGGGCGTTGTCGGCAGGGGCATGGTCGATGGGAACCTGTTGATGCGCTGGGGCGAGCTGGGCGAGTGGAAGAGAAGAGAGGGCATGGCTAAGGCTGGGGCGGACGAGTGGGTGTTTTGGGGCGAGAGGGAGGTGCTCGGTGGATGGGGCTTGTTTGGCGGGCGGGCGAGGCGATGAATCATTCCGAGGCGTTGAGCTCGACGAGACACATCTCTCTACGTGCGAGGTCCGGCCGTGTCCCTTTGGAGAGCTCCGCACTTCCTCATCCAATCCGTAGCACAGACACACACACTCTACTCCGTAGCAAACACCACCGCACGTCGGCAAGCGGGTTCGACAAGCATGGACCACCGGGCGTGGCTACCTTCACCTGGCTGGCTGCCAGGCTAAGCTAAGCTAAGCAATGACTTCCCGCTTTTCCCTCCCTGCTTCTGAATCTTCTCACTCCCGTCACTTCCACCTAAATCTTACGTGTAAGGTTGTTGCGGATAAGAACGTCTCTAAGCGAGCATGCTGACAGATTAGAAGCGCAGGGTCAGTCGAACAGGCTCAAATCACAGTCTGCCCTCTTTGCTACTTTGTGTCTTAATCCAAGGCGGCGTTATGATCTTGCTCTTTCTCTGCGCCACAACGAACAAGACTGCAAGTAAGATGAAAGGAATACAGCATACCCAGCCCAGAAATAACAAGGCCACTACTGTACCCAGAAAACCACGGCAAAAGATGAAGCTGTCCATGTTTAGCACTGAGGCAAGTGTTAGCTTATGCTGGAATATAACGTTGTTGACAGCTGCGTAACCAGCCGCCACCGGTAGTAGGCGTCGGGCTGTATCCTGTCCTGTCGTACAACAGTAGCATGGAATTTTGAAACTAATCTACAACTTCAAGAGATCATCATCGCTGGATGTGTGCCTGCCATAATGTTTCTAGCAGCAACCCTTTTACTACCCGGCACAGATGTCCTATGCTGTGTCGCAGTCGTAATGTGCAATAAATGTGCAAAATATTCTTCTGCCTTCTTCCGCCCCATCTACCCCGGCGGCCTCTGCCCATACCTAGCAATTTTCAATATGTGATTTCCTCTAAGCAATCCCTGTTCAGCAACCCAATCCTCCGCATCTACCCATTCACAACTCTTTTTCTCCCTACGCCTAAAGGAACTGATGTACTCTCTAACGCGCAGGCTTAACGCGCGTAGGCATTTGGCTGAATTTTTCCCGTTCCTCTGTTCGCAACTGCTCGACCTGTGGTTTGCCTATCAACTGTGCAGTAACACCAAGTTCACTGGGTTTTCCAGACGTCAAGAGCTATAGTATTTAATAACGGACTAAATCGCACGCAGTCTACAATCTGAAATACTTCGCGTCTTGGTGTATAATGAAGTAATCCCTGGCTCCCTCCACGCCTAATTTGAAGCCATGTTCCGGGACCTAAACTGCATTCCCTGTCTGCTGTCCAGAGTTATGCATTATCGCTGACCACGCATGAGTACACGACTTTATCTTATCAGTATGCTCATTGTCTAGTTCGTGGTTAGCCCATTAACTTTGTCTTATAGCCTATCATCTCTTGTCCCCACCCTCCTGAAGTATACATCTACACTGACCAAACAGTCCAACTGGGGTAGTCCTGTGCTCGAAGCTGTAAGGTCGACTGCTAATGATGAAGCCTCAGGGCCACGCCACTGTGCGCGGCTAGAGCATTTGCGGCTCTGATAGTGCTCTTGATCTGTCGGCCGTCAAGCTCAAATTCAGAGAATGTACTAGTGTCTATATCCTTTGCTCCCAAGGAGTCAAGGAACGTCCTCTACATCTGCTTCTAACTTTCTCTGCTCAGTGGACTGTAGGTCAGCTTGAGATCGATGCCGGAAGCTACTGTCTTGTCAATTTCTGATACTCGGTCCTTTGTAAGGAACAAGATATCCTTACAGTACTCAAGCTGCCGAAGGAATGTCGTTACCGTTTCGTTGCGACACAGGTGTTGCGCGCCCTAGGCTTGCAGATAGACGTCCGCCTTATTCATGAGGAAGATGGCACTAAGGATGGTTTACAGCGTCATATTTATCCCGACAGTTCTCTCAAATGACTTTAGATCTGTGTCGAGGTCGCCGGCTCGCAGCTTGTATCAGCCGGTGATAACATTCTCCAATGGCTTCGGCTGTTGATTTCTTTCCAGCCCCTAGGGTTCCGCTTAGCAGTATTATCGAGCCTTGCCCTTTGTTTCTGACTCTATCTGTTGCCACAAAGGTCAGTAAACTACCGCATTTGTCCTCTTTGCTTTGAGCATATTGGGAACGAAGGCTCAGCCCTTGTTCAACACATTCGTTGCCTCCCTCTTTTAAATCAATTCACAGCGGCACCGAGACATTTGCATTGAAGAATGAAGAATAGACCTAGTCTGCTCTACAGAGCTGCTCAGCCGTTGATCCCTATTTTGGAAAATCCACGACCATGGCTATCGAGCACGACTTTTGGTGGGTTCACAACGACTCTGAACTCGCGAACACTTAAAAGGCCTCCTTTCACCATCGAATCTCTCGAATTTTATTATTAAATTTCTAGTAAAGACATAAATGTAGGGAAGATGCCCAGGGGAAAGGGGGACACGACAAATTGTGTCCGAACAATGTGATTCGCTAGACATTGTGTAATTGGAACTCGTATTAGTTCAGAATTGCATTAATCTCTACGTGTAGTTATGGTTTCTCAATCTGAGGAATAAAAATCTAGTGTTCTCACTTTACGCCTCCAAAGAGCCATCCGGGCGCTGCTGTCGCTCGTGCTGTGAATCTACACTCTGCTGGTCCTTCAGTTCAAGATCAACCGCCCGCTCCACATCATACTTCTCGCGCAGAACCTTCTTGGGATCGTTATCGGCGTTGACTGACTCGTATTCGAGAGCTTTAATGAGCAAGTAGAAAACACTGGCTAGCAAAGACCCGAGGATGGGACCAACCCAATAGATCCAGTGGTACGGTGCGAAGGTACGCGTCACCACAGCTGGCCCAAATGAGCGAGCTGGATTGACACTCCCTCCCGTGTAGAAGACGCCCATGAGCTCCGCTACGAAGAGCGATAGACCAATGCCAACAGGTGCGATGAAGGTACCCTCGTGCTTCTCAGTAGCAAGCATAAAGATTGTAAATACCAACTGGGCAGTCAGAAACATCTATTTCGTATGTTAGAGATCGCCGCAGATTCGATATGGATAATGTACCTCGATGAAGAGACCCTGGACCACCGTAGTACCACCACCTAACTCAGTCCTGACGGCCAGGACATTGGGCATCATGGCAGAGACAACGCCAGAGGCCGCTAAACCACCTAGTATCTGAGAGACGACGATCAAGACGCCGCGTGAGTAGCCTGTCGCACCTACAACCATCATGCCCAACGTGACTGCAGGATTGAAGAGGCCACCACTGATACGGAAAAATACCCATGCGTTCACCATCAAAGACATGCCAAAGACAAGCGCAATGTACATGATCTTGCTGGGGTTCGCACTCAGGTCCGTCGCGTTAGCACCCTCGGCTGGAGCGGTATTGACAACGTTTGTTCCACCCAGGGCAAAGAGCAGGAACATGAATGTACCCACGAACTCGCCAATGCAGGCCACGGCATGACCCTTGAGCGACGGTGGAAGAAGGTCCAGGTATTTCAGACGCCTTTCGACGAGCCTCTCGGAGTGATGCGGACGTTGGTGTCTCCGTGACCTCCACGGCACTCGGATTCCACGTGTAGGGCGGTCGATGTTCATTTTGCTTGCAATACAGGTGATGGCTCGAACAACGCTACTGCTGTGATGAGGCTTTGTTGTGTGCCGTGATGGTAGGACTTGAACTTTCAAAATAAATAATCACCCTCAATCAGAGGACTAAGTACTTGACTGCTCCCATCGATATTACTGCCGCGACTTGTACATACGTACATAGGATCTTGAAAATCAAGATTCCATGCTTTGGCGAGCGACGTAAAAAACGCCAATGTTCACAAGTCGTTCGTAGTCCAAAAGCGAGAGTTATCCACAGATGCAGATGCTGCTCGCCCGGCCTGTCGCGATAGGGTTTCCAAAAATGGTAAGCTATCTGTACTGGGCAAAGCGCAAGGGTCCAAGACCACACTAATCGGAGTTCAAGATGGGGTGCACTGCAGATCTCACAGGCTAGACCTGTTCGAGTCAATGGTCGCGATCCAGAAACCGGGTTCAGGCTCGCACTGACATCACGGCGCGACTGTTATGACCACTCCCGCATATTGTAGGCTAGTTACAGCGTCACCGCTCCGGGCACCTTTAGATGTCCGCACAGGCCAACGATGCTCGAAGTGAGCAGTGGTGTTTAACTTCTGCATGAAACTTCCAAGGCAAAGCGAAGGAATGCATGGCAGCACTGACATAATTGCATAACGTACCTCTAGACTGGCGGATGGGTACTATAAGGAGGTGGCCGCTGAGGGCTATGTGCAAGTAGAATTCAAATGGAATTGATGCAGGCTCCGGCTCGGAGGAAATTGAGATCTTATCCCTCTGTGGCGGAGTATGTGCGTTGAAGTGCTCCAGCACGGAGTTTAGCAGCCTCTGGTTTGTGTGCTGGTGGCTTCTGAGAATCAAGGCCTTCCAGCGCTAAGAACTAAGCGCAGGCCTAGCCTGTTACAGTACTCCCCTGCTAAGCCTTTGTTATAGTATAGTTTCTAGAACAACAAGTGCTCTCTGCACCCCACCTTGCGCGACCTTTGTTTCTAGGCACACTAACGTAGATTATCACCAAGCCAGCCATATCACCAAACTGGCCACTTTCTCTTGGCACAACCACCTTTTACCCTAACATAACATGCCTTAACCTGTTTTATCAGTGAGCGCCCCACCTCAGTGAGCGCCCCACGAACACCAGTGAGGCGTACGCGCAGCGACGTAGCTTAGCACCACAACACAAATTTTGTACTCTTGCAACAGTATAGTATTATTTAGAAGCGTTGCTGTTATTTATATCCTTAATTTCTACCTTGCAGGTGCAAGAGTTGTGCCTAATCTCACTGCAACAGCCACAGCGTCGCCCTGCGCGCACCCTCTTTACTAGCTCCTTACCCTCCTCACATCTGCCACCCTCCCTTTTAGCAATTAAGTCTAATACATTGCTAACTGTTAATGTCTCCTCTGCCTGTACGTAGCGTCTCTTGCAAATTTTACGCTTTGTTGCTGCTTTAGTAGCAGTATTAAAGCGCACTATCTCTATGCGTATTAACACTATCTTATAAGCTATCTGCTGCGCGCCTTTTGTTAGCTGCTACACCTACTTATTAAGTAAACTTGCTAGAGACCCTTAATAGATTTTTATCCTGTTTTAAACTAGTGTTAATTGCGCCTCTATTTCTTTAGCGTTGCGTGGTGTTTTCTCCTCCTAAGTGGTGTTAACTTGCTGTGGTGGAGTTTGCTGTAAGGAGCTGGCCTCTGCGGGCTATTTGCAAGTATGAATCAAATGGATTTGTTGAGGAGTGGCTGCAGGCGGAGGTCTGCAGACTTTTATGTCCTCTGTGCAGAGGTTACACGATTAGTCAAGATTAGGACCTCCTGACTAGGGGTACAGCTGGGCAGGCACCTCCTCTTGGAGGTTGGCCAAGGCCAGCGAGCGCTGAGGCGCTACTATCAGGCCTAGCCTGTTACAGTACCCCCCTACTTGTTGCGTTGTTTATAACACGTCCCTAGGTCAAAACACTAAATCTAGTCGCGCCGCCTACTACTCTGCTAACTAGCTTGTCTCTAACATTGTACCACAAGCTGCTGTCCCCTGCCCCGCCACAACTGTTCTACCGCCTATCATGGCTCCTAAGACCCTGTCTAAGCCTCGCTAGGGCAAGGTAAGTGTTATGGTGCTTTTTGCTGATTGCGATTTCGCTAAGACCCCTGCATAGCGTCCCCTATCTAGGTCTCCCTCTATTGCACGCCTGTCTAAGAGGCTAATTAGGCCTAATAATATTATTATAGACAAAGAAGAGGTTAACATAATGCTTGTCTCTAATAATAAGGACAATATTAAGGAAGTCTCTAATAAGGCTAAGCAGTCTCCCTATACTACGCGCGCCCTTAGGTTTACTAACCTAGAGGTTTACACTAGCTGCGCTTTAGAGGGTTATGCCTGCACGTTCTCTAGGGATGCTTGCAAGAGGGGCGCTAAGGTTTGTAAGTCTACTTATAATATATATGCTTAGAAGCAGACTGCTTATATTAAGGTAAAGTTACTGTAGTTCCCCTCTTACAGTGTACTAATGTTAGGTAGCTGCCCTACAAGGCCTTTAGTACTTTAGTAAAGTATAAGGTAGCTTCTTATATCTCTAAGAAGCTGTTGCACCTCCTTAAGTACTCTGCGCCTATTAGGCTAGCGCTAGAGAAGCGCATAAACCTCCCTAAGCACGCTAAGTTTAACTCTTACCCTTGTTCTAGTTATAGTAGTGTTGCTAGTTACAACCTTAAGTAGTCTAACTACAAGGAGGAGATTAATACTATGCTTGCCTGTCCTTGCCTAGAGGTTAAGTTTACTAAGTATACTACTCTAGCTTATAAGGAGATCCTTTAATAGTAGAAGTAGATTATAAGTGTTTCCCTACTAGGCTTCATTCCTTTATGCTTATAGTTCTGCAGCTTCTGTATCTATTGTCTCTTTATGCGCACGTTCTTAATCTTAGAGCGTCCTTCTACAATTGTGTTAGCATAGCAGCTCCTATAACTACTTCTGCTAACATTATAGCCTAGCTCTAACTAGAGGTAGAGGCCCTAGTTGTAAAGGAGAAGGAGTGTCTTTAGGACAAGGATAATAGGGTTCTTTAAGGCGCCCCTCTTAGGTTAGCTATTAGCGTTTAGAGTTTCTTTTTTACTTTTTTTTTTAATAAATAATACCTAGCTGTAGCCCTCCTAGATACTCTAAAGTTAGAGTAGCTACTTCTAGAGTAGCTTCTTAAATAGACTATTATTTATTTTTATATTCCCTCCCTCCTTTATATATACCCTAATAGTAGCCTATAGTCTTCCTCTTCCTCTTCTCTAACACTATATTTAAGGTGTTAGCTTATACACAAACTCCTGTAAGGGGTTTATAATAGAAATTAGCAGGTAAGTTACTATTCTTGTCTCTATAGTTTATAGAGAACACTACCTAGTTGTCTAGGGCCTCTAAGTCCTTGCACGTTGCTGCTAGTTCCTACGTTGCTTTTGTATAGCTGCGCCACTTTATAAGATACAAACAGTCACAACTACTAGTCCCTATTGCTTATTCTGTGTTAATTTATTTAACCTCCTATTCCTCTGCTAATAACCTATTATTGTTTATAACTATAAGTAGGCCTAGCTGTTAACATGGTTGGCAAGCGAGTCGGTCAGACAAGCGAGTCGGTCACCCCACCAACTTTTGCAACTTCAAAGCGATATATCTTAACAACGTGATAATATTATTGCTAGATATTAATATAGTAGACTACTCTATATTAATAGTATCAGCGTTGCATGTGCGCGAGTTGTGCCCAGTCTCTTTACACCTAGTGCAGCGCCTTTGAGCGCGCTGGCTGAGGCCTGATCGCGCTCCTCCTTGACGCTCTTCATGAGCAATCTGCTGGTCAGCCTCATTTTGAGCCAGTATATC